TTAGAACATAGCTAGCAGAGTCGCGCAATCAAATTCATTATACGTAAGCGTGCTCAAAATCCCGATAGTGCACGCTGATAGCGTCAGCAAATCCGACTTCGCCAGAAATTTTTTTTTTCGCGCGAGCGGCCATTGTTAGCGCGGGGAAAAATAATACATTTCGCGACAATAATGGATACAAACAGAAACTCGGCCTACTAGTCCGAAAACGAAGACAATGTTTCGACCTTTTCCCTTGGGCTAGAGTTCTTAAATGAGGCAGAAAAAGAGAAAAACAAAGGAAAAGGAGACTCGGCATCAGCGCCGTCACGATTCGCTTCAACTGATATTGTTGTCCGTTTTTCGCGTCGGATTTTGATGCACAATTCCACCGGCTATGTTCTAAAACAATTGGTTCATGCTTTCAGCTGTGCACTATCGAGTTATGGAGCACGTGGGAAGTTTGGAGAGCACTCAAGAAGCTAGAGTTGCCCTCGGCTATCGCCTCGGGCAACTCTTACGCTTCGTTCGTGCTCTCTAAACTTCCCGCGTGCTCCATAACTCGATAGTGCACGGTAAAGCATGAACCAATTGTTAAATGGATGCACGCGGAGGTTGCTAAGCACGAAAGAAGCGTAAAAGTCGCGCGAGGCGATAGCCGAAAGCGACACTAGCTTCTTCTTCTACCATTTGTTAACCAGAAACACCAAACAAGAAAAAAAGGACATAAATTTCACTAAGGCAATTTACTAATGCAGCTATATCAAAAAAGCAACACCGATGTAAATTTCACACCATAGTTTGTGAACTCACCACTTCCAATTTTTCCACCTTCAACTTGGTATTAGGGTCCAGCGACAGTCGCCGGCTGCCACGCCCATGTCGCTTGGCCCTTATACTTCCCGCCGCAGCTGTTGTGGTCAACAGCGACTGCTGTCAATTTACAGGGCTTGGACTGGACTGCTGGCCGGGAGGAGGTGAAGTGTACTGCTGTGCGACTCTCTGGAGGGCTTCCAGATCTTGTTGCAAGTAGTAAGGGACTGACGATTGTTCAAACGCTGTCTGTACAGGGCTTATCTGCAGTGAACTAAGTGGTAGTTGTTGAGGCTGTGTTGGGGCAGAAGGCCCTGCACCTGTTAGTGAAGAACACAATATCACTGACAGGGAAGTTTTGACTATTATATCAAATGTTTCTAGAAGGGCCACCCTTGGTGTCAAACTCGTTTCTAGGCGCTTTTGCTTCCGAGGAAATGGCGCCCTAGGGACGAGGCTGCCGTTGTGAAAAACTAATTAGCAATATGGTCTTTACGGGGTTAACCGTTTGTCGTAAAACGACAAAAACATTTGGCTGTTGGACGCAAAATTGACAAATTTTGACAACTAGTCGTAAAACAATTAGCCGTAAAATTTTTTCTTTTAATCGCAACTCCTGCAAAATGGCCAAAATTTTCCCATCAGCCATCAGCCGTAAGAGCTATCAGCTCATTGAGAGCCTCTAGCAGTAGGCAAACCTCTGTACCAAACTAAACCAAACTATACATTCTACTCTAGTTAAGACCACCTACGAAAATTCACCTCTCGCATCATCAAATTCATTCGATCAAAATTGCTTTTAACTATACCTGTGAGCAACCTTGAACGAAATAAATCAATGATTGTTTAGAGGAACCTATTCGAATTCAAATGTATGTGACAATGTGTAAAGTTGAAAAATTTCATTTTAGTAAATTATGGGAGACGAAGAAATGGCCGCGTTCATTCACGCATGAAATGAAAACAAACATGGAAACATGGACGATATGTAATGTACTCGCTAAATCTTTCATACTTACTTTCTATACGATTTATCAATTCATTGTATTTATCTGTTGAAACATTTCCTCAAAAATTGGTTATTGTGAATCTTCATGGTTTGTAACACTTGAGGTGATACATATGACACCATCGTTACAACAATGATAAATTCTAATTTCTTACGCTAATGACAGTGAAGTTTCACTTAAAATCTAGAATGAAATTTACGTGCTGCACAAACCAGCCCAAAAGGTTTCTAAAACAGAAAAAAAAAACTCGAAACTACGCTTGTACATATTTTGTTTTGTACATAGTTCAAATACAGATACCTTGTGATTAAATGCAAATTTTCATCTCAGTGTTGTAGAAAGAATCCACAATTCCAACAGACGTGGTAAGAATATAAACAAGTTAAGCCAAAACAAAATTTACTGGCTTAGGGCCATTTAGTACCAGAAGAAAAAAGTTGCAATTTCTCACATCCTCAGAGAAGTATTCATCAGAAAATTGCGTACAGCAACACGCAAATAACATCAGAAATACTGAAATTAGCATTAACACTACTTTTGTTGTTCAAGAATATTGTATCACTTAAAAAGAGTCTCTAATAAATAATTCATATGATTTTATAATCATTGCTTTGAATAGAATAACTCAGTTTGACAAAACAGTACCACCTTCAACAATTATTTGTACAAAATTCTGGTTCTAAAAAACGTTGCTATTATTTTTGTTCCTCTACCAATTGAAGAAAAACAACAAATATTACTGACAAAAAGTTTCATAAGATAGGCACAATAAAATTTTGTGAATGAAATAAATACGTAAACAAAACTGTTCTAGATCAAATTAAGATTTGAAACTAATTATTAGTGAGCCTATGTGCTATGACAGTATCAATGGAACATATTTGCAGCATCAACTCATTTTTTTTTTTCTCTACTTGGTTTTAAAGGGTGGGTACTAAAAACTTGACGCATATAGATGTGACAACAAATATTAAAAAACATTACAAAACTTACCATTTCCAGTAAGTGGAACAGATGGTTGGTTTAGCCGTGGTTGATTCCCAAGCACTCCATTTACATAAGGTGGAGAAGAACTCCAAGGAGCTTGTCCCACATTCACAGGAAATCTGTTTGGTACGCTATCAACTGTTGTTGGTGTAGATGACATAGCTGGCTGAAAACTACCAAACACTCGCTGTGGAACAGCACTTGGTGCTGGGTAAAAACCATTACCAAGCTGTGGGTGAGAATTAGGCATCACTGAATGGTTCATGACACCTCCCACAGGTTGTACTGGATGCGAAGTTGGTTGCATAACAGCTGGTTGGGAATCTGATAATGCAGGGGGTGAAATCTGTGATTGTGGACTACCTTGGAAAGTTTCAACACTTAGGCTACTTTCCCTGCTACCAGTTCTAGCGGGTTGGCTTAAACCCTCTGCCAACAGCTCTTTCATAAAAACATCTGTGTTACTTAAATCAGGTTCACTTGCTTGGGACGATCTGCTTGACGAAGGTCGAGAGCTTGAGTTGTCTAACCCACTGAGGTTCAGATGAAAATTTTGTGTTGATGGGAATCCATTTTCAGAGTTCCGTCTTGGACTGTTGTGTGCTGGACTTGCTGAGCCATTAGGTGTATGACTTCCAGGTCTATGGCCGCCTCGAATAAACGTTACTTCTGTGTCTTGTCCCCTGTTTATAAATAAATCAACATTATTGTTATGGCCTTCTCTCACATTGTTACACAAAGAACAGTTGTCTATTCAGATATGATTATTCTTTAACTAACACCCATAGAAATTTCAAGTTCAATTTATTATCTACATTATACTTTGTCCATGAGCTTAAATGGTAAACTTTTATCACTTACTACTGAAAATGTACTACTTTAAAAGACTATGATGTCTATTACTAGGAGATTATTACTCATGACAAGCTTAGTGACAATAAACTAAGAAAAATATGGTTACATAAAAAAAATTTTCTTATTTCCATGGATAGTCTTTTGTATAGTTTCTGGGAACACTTTTTATTATCAATAAAATGTTTTCCTACCAATAGCACATTTCATTTGACATTTTTCTTTTTTTGTAATATATACCTGGCATTTTAAAAATTATTACATCAAAACAACTGGTCCCGGACAAAATCATTAATTCTAAAAACATGTTTGACTGATAAAGTGCAAAAATATTCTTTCAGGAAGCTAAACACTGTTGTCATAAATTATACTTTTGAGCTGTTAAGACCAGGATACATAAATCTGTCAGGGCAGATAAAAAAAAAAATAATAACAGAAGACACAACAAGTCACGAATAAGACAAACAAAATTTAGTGAAAGTAATACCTCAGTTTAAGTCTTGTCAAAAGAGATTTTGCTTGCTCATGGGTAACTCCAATGAGAGTTTCTCCATTAATGTAGATGAGCCGATCACCTTTCTTGAGTCTTCTGTCCTGTTGGGGAAAATTATAAACCTTTGCCTTGAAAAAAGAAAAAACGTGGTATGGCTCTAGAGCCCTGCATTTTGAATTTAGATGTACATCAATAACTGTTTATACCCAAAACAGGTACCTATTACAGGTGACCAGAAGAATCTAGAATGGATTAATTTCAAATTAAATTCAAAAACCAAAAATGCAAATCATCTTCACCTGCGATTATGAAAAGAATCTTGCAATTATGAGTTCAAGAACAGGTCATTTGACAATAGGACAATTAAACAATCCGTTGGCGCTTTAAGGACCTTCAAATGATAGGTTTGAATTATTTCTTAACAAAATAAAAGAAGGTCAATTAAAGCCAACTATTGACTTCATACTGTTTCAAAGAAAGCTCCAGCAGAGACCCTGCGCAAAGATTGTAAATTTCGGTTCCAAGTCATATTCACAAGTATCAGGCTAGGCAAAAAAACCAAAGCTTCTAAATTGATTGTAAAAGACAAAAACTATGCAGTTTGCCAATTTTTGAAACCAAAAAATTAATATGCATCATGTTTCAGTGAGTCAAATGACAGCTGCTCAATATTTGAAGCCAATTTCCTATTCCTGAGAATACAAGTCTTCATAATATACATCATTTCTTATGTCAACTGAAGAGCTCTGGTTTTAAAGCTGATATAATGTAATTTAGGATAATAAAAAAAAAAAAAGCAAAAAAAAAAAATAGATCTCCGATGAAAGCTGTACAATTTTTCTTGACCATTGAATTAAAACAAAGCCTCTGTATATGTGATAATAAATACACTAAACATACACAGTGATGAATGTCTGAAGATAACAAAACAGAGACCAAGGAATACAAATGCATTTTATCTCTCCATAAAGAACGAAAATCTTTGTTTATTACAAGAAGAGCAAGAAAAAGAATAACTTGTTGATTTTTGAAGTAATCAAAGTTGGCATTACAGAACTCTGACATAAATGAATTATATGGCATGACAAACCTAAAAAGCTAACAAACATTTTAACTTAAAACAAAGCAGGAATTGAATGCAAAATTTGTTGTAAAAATTTGGTTTTTAAATTTCACCCAATTCTCTAAATGAAGATGTAAAAAATAAAATGAATGTTTTATTTTTTCTGCAAAAAGGCATCAATTTTGGGTTAAAAACACCAAATAAATTATAGTTTAAAAAAAATCTCTTTTTGGAAAAACTGCTGACTACATTGTGAATAAGAAAAGTAGGATATTTTTCGCAAACTCTGTACTTAATATACTTGTTTATCAGTATAAATACTGGAAAAAGAAAAATATGAAATTTTAAATATAAAGTTAACATCAAACAGACAAAGTAAAACGTACGTCACTCGTGCTAATTGTACCTTGTGGGAGTCTCCTCCCTCAATAATGTCATCAACATAGATATGTGGCCCTTCAGGTCTGTTTGTACCACCAACAATACACAGCCCAAGTCCAGTTGAGTACCGAATCTGTATGGTTTGCAGTTCACCAGGATGGTCAAATGTTGGAGAAGAGCTATTTGAATGTCTATCAGTGGGCAGACCAGAATCATTTGTGAACTCTGATGAAACGCTTTGCTGTTCTACAGTTAGATGTCCACTTCCATTGAATTCAGGTGATTCATCCGGAGAATGAGCTTCACCATTGAGGTGACGGGTGTACTGTGTTCTGCTTGCTGGTGTGGACAGTTTTTGGAGACTTGAGTTGTAAGATGGAGGTTCATGAGCCCCTGTGAACATTATAAACCATGTTTTAGTGTAAATAACAGATAAAAGATTTCTTGCAAGAAATATTTTCTTCATAAAAGATAAATGTTCCTCAAGATGTGCTTTAGAGTGAATCCCTTAACATGGTTTTCATTGTCTCATATCTTATGACTTGCAATTTCACATTTTGAAGCCTTTTATCATGAGTATTTTCCTCTTTTCTGCTGTTTTCAAAATGTTATGACCTGCATACAAGCTGGTATGATATTCCACCCCTCCTTAAGAAATGTGCACCCAGTGATTTCTTGACCCCATCTCTCCTACAGTCATTTTCCCCTATTTGCTTCAATCCTCTATCTCAATTCACAAAGTGCAAATTAAATAAAAAACAAAATCTTTTCATAAATCAATCCCAATCACAGAGGCACAGACTTACCAGGGGTGTGTTGAACCACAGGAGGACCAACTGAAAGTGTTGGCAGGTCCATGGAATACATCCTCTGAAGACTGGCAGAAGGTCTATCAAGTGAACTGGTGGGTGACAAGACAGGACTGCCATGTCTCCCACCCATTAGAGGTGACATCCGGCCAGCAGTCATCACCCAGGAACGTTTCCCTTTGGAAAAAGAGCAAAGCTAACTTATTAATAATCAGCTATAAATGAAAATATTTGAACACAATCTTTGCCACAGGGGGGAATGGGAATTTGTAAAAGCCAATCTTCAAAAGTTCGTTGATTGATCACCAAATTTCAATTTGTCTCAAAGTCTCTGCTTGTTTAAACAAGTAAAGACTTTGAGATTGTTGTAACACAAGATAATCAGACTTGATACCAACTATGGATCACAATATCTGACTAAACAAAACTGAATCATAACATAAAGGTGTATGTGTAAAAGCACAGAATGTTTTGCAGCATTTTTCACCAGTTTTACTTACCCATGGTTGGCGAAGGGGTTGAGGCTCGTGAACTACCAAAACTGCTGCTCCTTGTTAATCCTGGTGCTGAAGAACCATTGGTTAGACCTGATAATGTGGATCCACCATTTAACGCTGTCATCAATTTTTCAAACTCTTGCCTGGAAGAAACCGTGTTAACATCTTAATAATTATGTAACATGCAAGACAAGCCTTTTGTAAATATCTTACTGAAGACATTAAAAAAAGACTACTTTAAATAACTGAAAATAAAATGATCACTGAAGACTGCAGAGATTCCATATCAATGCCATTTATTATGATGCAAAATCAGTCAAACATTTAATGACTGCATAAATAAATATATAAATTATACGTGATTATTAATTATAATTAAATACTATTAGGTAATCTGAAATCTCATTCTACCTGGCCTGGACATCTCTGCTCACAACCATTTTTGCATTGTTAGTCTGGGCAGCATTGCGCAAGAGTGACATTGCCCTAAATGACAACAACAACAACAACAACAACAACAAAAAATATTAATAAATTCATAGCCAAATGACTTATAGCCCAATGATGACAACACCTTCAAAGACAAATGCTATCATAATTCTTGAGACTGTTGATCTGTTTATCAATTAGCAACTTACTTGTCATTTGACACCCCAAGCAGGCTGCACCCATTTACTTCTAATAGTTGATCTCCCTCTCTCAGTTGTCCTAATAAAAATGAAAAGATCCTGTTATAGATCTTAGAAGCAAGGGGTTCTACAGATTGGTTACAAGGATCAAACCTGAGAGGTCATATTTGAGTTAAAAATTTCCTTCATAAACATTTACCACTGACACTAAAATCTCCTCACAGTTACAGAGCGTCTGACAATTCCTAAGTAAACATAGGGATGAAAATTTTCAAGCCCTTTCAGAGCCAAGCTGATCTGATGTGGTGTGTCACAATCTAATTCTCACCATCAAGATCAGCAGCACCTCCACTCAAAACTTTCTTGACAAAGATTCCAAAGTCAGCTCCAAGGGCTGATCTCCCACCAGCTATTTTTATACCTTCCAAAAAATACAAAATTATCATAAATTATACTAATCATAATGTAAAACCATACATTACAACCAGTTCTTAACCCTTCAAACCCTAAGAGTGACCAGCATGTAATTTCTCCTTACAATATCACCTCTGAATCACACATTAAGGTCAGGAGAATAAAGAAAATGATCACCAGTGATGGAAGCTCCTCAGTGATTGTTAAAATCAAATCAACAGTGATTTAGCATGTTCTGTACTCTAATCAACAACATTTGTCATGACAGTGGTTAAAATGTAGTGGACTCATGAGGCACAGCTAAACCACTGAATATTAAAATGATTCTTTCATTGTGTGACACGTTACACGACATGTTGACGCAAGCAGCACTGTCTGTGCTCTTATCGACAACAGCAAACTGGCCAATCAGATTGTGATATTACTACCAATTGTGATAAAATCCCTCTTTCCAAAGTCTCTTCACAAAACAGATATTTTTTTCTGAAATCCCGGTAAAAGTTGATTTGACAATTCCAACCCTAACCCACTCCTTCAAAAATCCCCACTCCAACACCTTCCCATCCTCTTAAGAGAATTATATATAATACATGATTAATAACCATCAATAATAAATAATCAATAATATATAATTAAATTACAACTTCTAAACATCCTTCTTGCATTATATTTGGCTCTTTATATGTCAAACAGGACCCAACACTTTTTTCCTTGAAAAAAGAAAAAACGGAAATTGGCTATATCAAGTCTGAATGATTTCCGCCCTCTCTTAAAACACAAGGAATTTTCTTAAATGCATGTAAAAAACGATTCAACACTTTCAACCACCTCACAGTCCATTCCACCCTTCCCCTACTTAAAAATAAAATTTAGAGCACCGAAAGAGAAGAGCTGAAAAAGGACCCAATAAAACACTTAATAAATCAATTTCAGTTAAGAGTTTAAGTTAAATCAAAACAGGAACTAAAAAGAATATTACCTAGTCCACCATGACAGTTTTTAATATTTATCACTTCAGTGTCATCTCTATCTCTAACATCAATTCGGGACCTTAACAAAGCATGGAAAAAACAAAATATATAAATTTCAAATTAGTGTTCAAAGCCTCTAAATTTCTGAACATGTAACCAGACTCCTCTTCCCACAGGGGCACCCTCCACAGGAAGCCAATGGACCTTGCCATTTCCTCCCCATAAAATTGAGAATCTTGATATTAGCAGGCAAGTAAAGAATTTAACAACAATTAACAATTAATCACTTATAGAGTGCTATTTACAATGACAGATCAACAGCGCTTTACAATCAATCCTAACCCACCCATCCCACCCTAGGGGAGTACATCCATCACACAGTTATCTCGTGCGTGGGAAATTAACGTCTCCTACCCCTAATCCTGTAGGAGATGGGACCTCCATTTATTCGTCCCTATCCGAGAAGACTAGAGTATCTAACCATTTCTTGATGTTATAGAAAGGTAGCATATTCTTCTCAATTATTTTAAGACCTTGAGTGTTGGTCCCGCAGGGGGCTCAAACCCTCGACCTTCCACACAACAGTCCAGTGCTCTATCCATTGAGCTAACCGGGAGGCGGAAAGTGACAAAACTTTTGAGTCTGTAAAACATGTTTCGTCAGAAACTTCTATGATCTTCAGTTAATTCAGCTTCCAACACTTTGTAGAGTAATTAACTGAAGATGACAGAAGTTTCTGTTGAAACATGTTTTACAGACTCAAAATTGAGAATCTTGCAATTTGCTCATTTGATTATTAACAGCTAGTGACAGACCTTGGAGAACCTGGATCTGCTGTCACCATTGTGAGACTCCCCATGTTCAGGACTTCTACTTCATTACATTCTGCAGAGAAAATTGGACGTGTTAAATTTCAATATTTTGGGTTCATTTTATACTTCACGAGAAATAATAATAATAATAATAATAATAATAATAATAATATTCTCTGCTAATCGCCATCTCAAAGTACAGCAATGACGCAGCTCAACAAGGTCGAACCGAAAGCTTACAATGGCACCTCTTGGCAGCGGCTATACAGTCCAAGTGTGACCTTAGAGCACAGCTTACAGCCAGCTGGAATCAGCTGTATGTTGGTTTTTGGTGAGGGAGGAAAACCGGAGAACCCAGAGAAAAACCCTCGAAGCAGAGAAGAGAACCAACACAAACTCAACCCACTTATAGCGTCACGTCCGGGAATCGAACCCGGGTCACATTGGTGGGAGGCGAGTGCTCTTACCACTACACCAACCCTACTCCCCATAGGTATTAAAGGCATGTGCATTTAAGATCTTAATGCCTATGATCCTAACAAACACCTGAAACTGCTCTTAAAAGACATAGCTACAGTCTGTAATGGCAAAAGATTTTCAAAAGAAAATATCCTTGATATATAATTAAACTTAGAATCGACTGAGCCACTGACAACCGTCTGAGGTGAAGGAGGACTTCTCTACTGTTCAGGAAAAAGACAAGTTCACAGACAAAACCTCCTCTCAAAGGATAAATCACTCATAAGAACTGAGATATCCGTGGCTGTGTTTTGTGAGTAGTTATGTTATAGATGTTTTATTATGATACATCTCAATTAAGCCTCATTAAGAGCCTGATGCAAACAGAAAGGTCAAGAAACTCAGTAAAATGGCAGGATTTGTTTACTTTGTCAAAAATTACCTCAGCCTTGCAAAGGAAAAGAGACAGATCAGATTCAGTTCAGTTCAAAAAGAGAACTCACTTATATTGGATGACAAAAATAGAGCATTCAAAAGATTATTTAACTACTATTATTAGTAATTGAAACAGTAGCTCTGTATTGGCACAGAAGCTATTATTATTTTAAAGTTATGTCATGCCTGAAATGTTCTTGTAGTATGTGACACTATCACTGACCAAAACCAAGTAAATGGGAGCCACTTTTTTACGACACTCATTAGTAAATGAGCGCATGATGAGACCTCGCGAGGATTTCTTTAAAAAAGCAAAGTTTGACTTCAGGGTAACAAAAATTCGATTACAACTTACAGAACTGTAAAATTTAATTAACACTTCCAACAGGGGATGCAAAATATTAAGTAACAATTAACACTACCATAAATTGTGTACAAACAGTGGGACATGCTCAAGGATAACGACTGAGGGAAAAATAAATGTTATGTTCTACATGCTTAAACATTGAAGGTGAGAGCATAAGATAGATATATCAAAACATTTTGAGCTTTTAAATTTGCATACCACTATCTGCTGTCATCAAGGTCGATTTTCTACAGCTGGTGGTAAACTGCTAGTTATTTCCAAAGCGTTTTGTACAACAGACAGCCCTCACGTAGTCTTCAAAAAGTCAAAATAACTTGAAAGAATGGATATCAAAAGCACTGAAACAATAAAACGAGCTGAAAAAACGAACAACTGGGCACCCAAATTCCGCCATATTACGATCGTATCATTGACGAAACTTATCAGCAATCCCGCTTCGATTTGTCGCGCCAATTACTGCCGAAAAAATCGAAGGCAGGACCAAATAGAGTGCCACAGAATACTCGATCAAAATACATAGTTGATATTACACTTATAAACATTTCACTTAAGATTGCTCGTAGGCATTACCGGTTGGTGGGAATTGAAGAAGCAATAGCCTGTCACGGCAGTAAGATAAACATTGTACAATTTCAAAATACACCACCATTCCATCAACAGAATTCCATTCCTTAAGTGTTCTAGCGGTCAAAATCCAAAGCTAAAATCCTTCTAAAAAGTGGTACAGAAATCTAAGCTGGTCATTTTCTCTGTTGTTGTTATTTGGTTCCTTTATGATGGTACGGGCGGGCAATTATCTATTCAATTTCAGCTGTTTTCGAATTGCAAACAAGAAGTAGCGCATGTATATGGCCACAATTCAATCGCGAATACGAACAGAAAATCTCTACGAGCACGTTTTACATTATTGAAAGTAAACATTAAGGTCTGGATTACAAAATTCTCTTTGCTGGCAACGCGCAACAAGAAGAAAAAGCTGAATTTCCGCAGCGGAGTTGTAGAGATGTCAAGCTAAGGTTCGAAATAAACGGAAGGTCGGTGACAAAGGTGTTACAAACAGCGCACATTAGCGTGCAAAAAAAATCAATACGTACAAGCGCCTTGGAAATAACTTCATAAATCGCAAATGATTTTCTATTTCACCATCTATAAACAAAATTATTTATGTCAAGACTCTCCATAGAGAGGTCGGGTTAAAACCATGAAAGCTGTCACTAGCATCAGCATTGCAGAAAGCTTGTGGTTAAACAACCAGCCCACCAGAAAAACCGACAAACGATTCTCAATGCAACGCTAAAAGTTTTACGTTTCGGTAAAATATTACCAGTTCACAACGAACGATAGATTAAAATACAACAAAACTTTGATTTGCGAAACAATTATCTTTAAATTTTGACGCAATATTTTTAACCACTGATCTTACCTCTCTACCTCGCTTCAGTAGACGAACCAAATAATGCCCAGTTTGACTCCGCACTTTGTATAATGTGTATGAGATTTGGTACTATAAAATTCCTCAAGAAATGTGATTTCTGTTGGTGGTGTCAATGATAGAAGCTGCAATATCACTTGAGTACGACGTGTATCTTACAACTCTGTTATCTTGACATAAATGTATGCGGTGTCAAGCTCCATTGCATTCCAACCATCAAACGTGTCTTACGCAGTTTTGTTGTTCTTTAGCAACGGGACGTGCATAATCCATCGTTGTAATTAGTATTACCTTCTCGGATGACTGTAAGTTCCCCAGACAGGAATACAGAATACTTTGATTACATCAGTTTCGCATTCAACGCAAATTTAAGAACTTTTACGAGTTTATCGTCAAAATCTTCCACTGCATGAAATCTGTCTTTTCAGCGATTTTTAAAAAGCAGTTTAACCATTCTCTGAATACAGAAACAAAACTCTTTTCAATCATGAATCTGATCTTAACGAAGACTATAACATTTGGAATGCAGAGAATAAAAACTGAGAAATGATTACCGAAGAAGAGGGCTTTATCATCAGCATTAGGCCGAGGGTATGGAGTAGTCAAATGATTTGTTGAGACGCCCAGAATAGTGGAGGAACTGACTAAAAACCTTCAAATTTCGACTTGATAGCCTTTCATAAATGTAACCACTGAGATTGCACGGAAAAGCTATCAAAACGATCCTGAAACGTTCCGTGCGAGAAACACTGATTTGCAATTTCACCTTCTCAAGAAATGACAGGATTGAAAGCACGTCACTTCCGGTCCCTTGACTTATTCTTTACTTCTCGGAATAGAACACCCAATTTTTAAATTTTCAAAGTTAAGATGGTTTCTTTACATGAAAAATGATTATACAAAGCGTGACAAAAAGACGCACATTTGAACACAACGTGAATATTTTATTTTTGAACCAAAACTTTAATGAAAATAAATCTGAAGTAAAGTTTGTACCAACAAGTGCATACACTTTGATACTTGTTCAGTATTTGATGTGGCATAATACATCATAGTGCGTGCTCAGTGAATGTTTCTCACAACGGTTGCAAGGCTGACAGAGCCAATAAATATCACAGTATCTGACAATAAATTCTGTATTCAAATTTCTACTATTTTGAAATCAATTTGGTGTTTGATGTGACATTGTACATCTTGGAGAAGAATATACAGTACAATTTTCAGCTGTAATATTTCTTAAAATGAATAAAAGTTTAATTGATACAAGCATATCATATATCCTGTACTTATATCAATCAAATTCTTTAACAAAAATCCCAAGGATTCATTCACTATCATTCAAATCTTGTTTACGGCTACTTACTCAATGCTGGAGAATCCCTTATAAATATCAATAAAATTCTCCCCGTAGAAACCACACAAGAATTTCCTAATTAAAACGCGTTGTATCCCTCTTAAAGTCCTTAATAACAACCCACCATTGCTCAAAAGATAAAGTACATTTACAGCAAAAACAATTCTTGTAACCTTTTCGAGCAAACTCAGCCGCCATGGTCATCAATGAGGGCCCTGAAAGAGTTTTCAGGAGGGAAAAAATCTCATTTCCCGGTCTATTTTTTGTCTAAATCCTATTATCATTCCAAATTTTGTATTTTATTTCACATGCACTCTTTTTCTTTTATAAGAACCTTTCTACAAGAACGTTCAGGCTGAGATTAACCAAAAATTTAAGAACATACTAAGAACACGCTCAGGCTGACGGTCAGTTAAAAACGGCTCGTTTTTCTTATTTTTTATTTGTTAATCTCAGCCTTATTTTTTAGTGAGAAGTATAAGTGAAGGTAAAAGAAATGTGGAACTGTGGTGTAACAGGACAATTAACGGAAATGCTTGGAAACCTCTTTTAACATTACCAATGCAGCTATTGCACGATACACTGAACTACTCAGTTTGTAAAGGCTGATAGTTTCGAAAGAAACTGTTTGGGGCTGCGTCGGTGGGAGTAACGAAATAATTTGGATATATCAACAAAGTTGAAATGGTAAATTGGCCACCGTAATGATTACAAAAGCTGACGTTTCGAGCGTTAGCCCTTCGTCGGAGCGAAAGTTTGTACTCAGTTTGTAGTTGAACTTAGTCTGGTCATGTCAGAATTGATGAATTACCACACAACTTCAAGAACATGTTGAGAACGTTTTCGGGCTCAAATCGCGAAAAAAAAAATAAAAACTTTCAGCCTTAGCACCAAAATTAGACGTTCTTATATATATATATATAAAAAAAAAAATAGTGTACTTTGAAAACATGTCCGCAGCTGTACCGATTCCTAAGTAATCAAAATACGTGTTACAGATCTCCTAATTTCACACCGTTTATCCAAACTAAGTTTGTGTCCTTGGGGATAGATGGAGGCTTGTCGTTTTATGTCAACTTTCGTCAAACATGAAGAGGTGGGGTGCGGGAGGCCTGGTACACAATGGAAATAGGCTTCGGGAGGGTACTGACCATTCATCAAAGCGGAATCAAAGTATATAAGTTTCGGTTCTAATCTTATCATCTTTTGGAAAGCGCCCGTCTCGCCGCTCTGTTCCTCTACGTATCCATGCTTTTTACGCCAACAATGGCTGTCGTTCACTTTGTGAGCCTATCTGTTCGTATTGGGATGGCGGCACTGGCTTCGATGGTGCTTTAAGGCGATCAAAAGATAAGTACATCAAAATCTGCGGGGAAAAAAACAGATATAATCGGTATGGTTATCAAAGAAAACAAAATGCAACGGATAATAAAACGAAAAAGAAAATACTCCACAGCGAGCTGCTGTTTTTAGTTTTTGGGAGCCCAAAGTGAATTTAAAACTGGTTAACGCTTTTAACTCCACCGAGAGGATCAGGATACTACTTGTTTTTCTGATGGAAACATGTATTGTTATAACGGGCGACAACCTCGAAGCGTTGCTTGAGCTGCAATTCAGCTTAAGAGGAGAGATATACTTACTGCTAAGATAACCTCAAGGCCTGCCATAACTCCCAACATAATATAGAGCCTCGTCATGAGGGCCCCTCCCCATAATGGACCCAAGATCATGGCTACTCCTGTCACTGACCTCTGAACACCTTGAGCTATACCTGTGAAAAGGAACATTACATGAAAAAGGACCAACACGAATTCATTCCTTTATTTAATGGACTAGAAATTTTGATGTCTCCCTCGTGACAAAAATTTTCGACCAATTGTAAAGCACGCGCATCTCTATAATCAGACAGTACACGCACGAGGTCCTCTCGCTGAAGGCGTTGCACGCGTGCTCGCTGACGCACTAAAATTGCACCCAATAGACTCCAGACTGGGAACCACCTACTTCGTATCTAATGTGGACCGTATCTTTGAGAAAACCTCGCGACGGAGTAACCTCCATTAAAGAAGACAAATTTCGGTCCCGATTGGAAAAAAAATACTCCTTTAACTTTTATTTGTAATCACCTCTCCTTGATCAAACGTGTTACCTGAATGGAGATAAGTTCCTCCGCCACTTATAAGTAGTTTCCTATGAACTACTTAGCAAAGTAACATTCTACGGGGTAGGTCACAACTGAAATCAAATTTGCAACTGCTGTCTTGGATTTGAAACTAAACTATTTTTAAAATAAACTCAGCTTAGCGGGTACTTCAATTATCTGATTTAGAAGAGAGCATCACTTACCTTGGGTTTTCTCGTCAGTGATTTTAGAGTAAAGGGAAACATTTGCTACTGAGAAAAACGGCAAACCAAACACAATAACTAATGTGCCAACAATTATGGTTGGAAGAACGATAGAATCATCTGGAAAGATAAAAGAAAACAATTTCGATTAAATATTGTGGAAAAAATCGGAGTTTGAATAAGGTTTCCACGACAGGTTTGAGTGTTAACTCCTAGGCCATTTGGCGACCTAAAACAAGAAAATGGTCGCCAAAAATAAAATTTCAGTCGCCAGAAAACAGAGAAAAAAGGAAGAGAAAAATGTAATTTGGCGCAATACTACAAATGCTATGGAAAACTATCTACTAACACGTCACAGCTTACTTCATGATTTTCGACCAGTGGTCGTCAAATTGGCGACTTTCGCAGCACTTTATTAGTCGCCAAGTTTTTCTCCTCGCAAGGCGACCAAAAGGATCACAGCTTGTAGCATTGTATTGTGGGTGTAGATTGGCACAATGAACAAGGCTCAAGAAAAGAAAATGATGACTTGGCTAAAGCGCAACACCTTCATTTGTACAGCTGTGTAAGCCTGTCTTAACGTTTTCGTCAAAGTCAGAGAAGAACTCCCTTTTCTGGAGCAAGACGATTCTCAAATGTAACAGGTAGAGTGAGAATGAAGGCATGAAGAGAAAATCAAATTATAACAAAGTGGATTAAAAACATCTTACATGGTTTTGCATTGGCCAAAAGGAAGAGATACCAAATTAGGGCAAATCCCTCAAAGGCAATACCAATTACCATCAGCCACCTACACAAAAAAAAGTCACACAGAACGGAAGAGACATGTATGACCAAAATGTTACTTTATAAACTGTCTAGTGAACTAACGACACTGAATTTTAACTTTAAAATACTTTCCTCTCAATTTAAGTTAAACAGATTAAGTGAAACCCTAGCAATTAGATATTGTGAAAAAAAGAAGGTTTGAAAAAACCCTCACCTGTCTGCAAGCTTTTGACTTATCTTTTTCACAAGGGCAAATACAAGAAGGGCCTAAGAATAAGGGAATCAAATAATAATCATCATCAAAACTTGTACAGGGCAAATACAAGAAGGGCCTAAGAATAAGGAATCAAATAATAATCATCATCAAAACTTGTAATGGCAAATTTCATGTAGATATGATCAAATATGCTTTAAAGGAATAGAAAATTGAAGTTGTTAACTACAGATACAAGCCTCACTAGTAATGAAAGGTTATTTACAAGAAAAATTCAAGAACATTTATCAATACTAACCTTGTAGCAATGAAGATTATGTTGATAATCATAAAAATGAAAATAAAAATAATAATAGTAATTATAATGATTGACAGCCACAATTTCCTTTAATGATAGTAAATTAAACAAGATGAATGACTTGCTAATTGAAATATCCAAAAAAACACACTTTACCTCTAAAGCTATCAGACAATAAGCAATGCTGTTTTCCATTTCTTTCCATCCCATGAGATACTCAGATAAAGGAGTGACTATAGCCTGCAATAAAAAGTACAAGAAATCTCAGTAGATTGACTTTGATAAGTGGGAGCAGGTTATTACTGTTCAAAAAATACTTTCTGTCATCACAGAATTGGAACATTTTGACAATTGTTGCCACCAATAGGCCACTTTACAGTTGTGTACTTAGTTGCCAAGTCTTTGATTCAGAGTGAGGCTGAAGGTGACCTTGTTGTGATAGACCTGTATCTACTTAGCATGATAACAAAGTGATTTCAATTTGAAAGGCAGCAAGGTTTGTATCATAACAAGGTCACCCCTAGCCTCACTCCCATTCAAAGGCTTGGCAACCAAGCACACAACTGTAAAATGGACTATTGGAGGCAAGTAATTCATGGCAGTCTCCATATAGACTCCCTGTTACCCAGTCTCCATATAGACTCCCTGTTACCCATTCTCCCTGTGTACCCTGTGTACCCTGTGTACCCTGTGTACCCTGTGTACCCTGTGTACCCT